CTTTGTGTTTGGCCTGCCGAAAAATTCGGCAGACAACACGGGTGTCGCGGTATTCGTTGACCGGATGAGCAAGATGGCTCATTTGACGGCGGTGCAAGACACCATCGACGGAGTTGGTTCAGCAACGCTGTTCGTGGATCGTGTTTTACGTCAACACGGACTCCCAGAGTCGATAGTCGATTGTCTCTGATAGACACCTTCGTTTCACGACAATTTTTTGGTCGACTATCTTCAAGGTGCTCGGCACCAAGTTGGATATGTCGACAGCGGATCATCCGCAGACCGATGGTCAGATCGATAGGGTGAATCGCGTCAACGAAGACGTTCTTCGCAGCGTCTGCGCTGAGACGCCGAGGCGCTGGAGCGTCATGTTGCCTCTCGTAGAATTTGCACTGAACGATGCAGTGCATTCGTCTACCGGCTACATGCCGTTCTACGTGAATGGGTTGATTCACCCTCGCGTCCCGCTGACGCCGCCATCCCATGGCTCAGGGTTTGACGGGGGAGGAATATTCGAGCGGCTAGCTGATGTCAGCCCCCTCACCATCCGTAAAGAAGTCGATGATTTTTTTGTCTACCAGACTGAGTGTCCTTCGACACGTTCGCGATTCGATGGCTGAAGCCAAGACCTGCAAAAAGAATATGCAGATGAAAAGGGAGAAGCAAAGTGGAAAGCTTTACCTGTACATCGAGGTCCCCGACATGGTTTTACTAAATACTAAAAACCTGCCTACACATGCAGCCTCTGCTGTCTTCAGGACGAAGCTTCGTCCACGGTTCATCGGACCCTTTAAGGTTGTGGCCAAGTGGGGCCTAGCGTATACGCTGAACCTCCCAAAATGGATGCGTACCCACCTGGTGTTTTACGTGGGCTTGCTCAAGCCGTACCGGGATCCGGAGCAAGTGAACGCGGAAGCGGATCCCACGGGCCCTCGGCCACCCAGAAGTTGAACCAGCAACTGGTTCTGAGCACGGAGTGCAACAACCTCCATTTCTAATGGCGCCAAGCGCTCTAACGTCGCATGTAGCGACGGATTCGCCTGCTTTACGGCTAGGATTCGCTCCGACAGAGCGCGATAGTCCTCTAGGCGAGTCAGCCGGCGCACGACGTGCTTTAAAGCGTCAAGAGCGTTCGCACAGCGATATGCTCCTTCAGCATGACGCCCAGCGGAGCTCCGATCACGAAAGACCTCGTCCTCAAGAGCTCGAAGAGCATCACGACTCACCGGACGGCTGTCGCACCGGTCGTCAACGCCCGTCACCGACTCTTCTCGATGGGAGCGGTGACGTCCGCTATCACGTGGAACGTCTTGTGGGACGTCGTCGTCACCAGGGTCAAACCCAATATCTGATGATGTGGCGGGGATATTCCGACTCCGAAAAGTCGTGGGAGTTTGAGGCGCCACTTCGGCAAGATTGCCCAGTCGCCGTGGATGCTATTGATCGGAAAGATCAGGACGTCCCGCGTCTTCAGACGCCCCGCACTTCCCGGCAATAGCCAGGTGAGTAAAAGGGCCATGAGCTGAGCTCAAGTAGTGGCCCTGACCTCTTGCGGTCGCAGACACAGAGCTCGCGGGAGCATAAGGGGTTAGCCCATGCATAGCAATGAGATAATCCGAAGGAAGTCGACGGCGTGCCTTGGTTTTGACAATCTCAAATCGGAGGTGTCGCTCCACACGCACGTCCACTTCCTTGTGGCTCAGCTGTAGATTACACAGTGAGGAAAGTTTCCGGTGCCGTTGCACCCATCCCTCAAAGTGTGCTTCGTCATCTGTAGCGCTTTTGCCAGGGGCGAGCACTACAGGTATCGTCCGCATTGCGGGTACACGAGAACCACCTCGTTGAGCACGTAGACGAGTGCGATAAACGTCCAGCACAGTTTTTTGTGGGACCAAGAATCGAGCTCGAAGAGCTTCCCGTGTGGCAAGTTCATCTTCCGTTCTAGCCAAAGGCCCAATGATATGAACGCGTAACGATCAAGTTACCGCGCCCGTCGCTTCCACAGCGGGACCCGCTGGGCGGAAGCCATATTCCACACGAGGGTCAATGACCGACCGTGGATGGGCGTGCTTTAGAGACGCCTTATGGGCAGCTTCAAGCTGCCGCCTCTGAGCCCCGTCGAGGTCATTGGTGATTCACTCACGTTCCTCGGTTGACGAGAAGTCAGGGAGCGGACATGGGGTCCGCAAGGCACAAGCAGGGCTCGTATCACGCCGCTGGCGCAGCTCGCCTTCCTCGTCATCCCATTCGGGAAAAAGAGTGTCAGACTCAAAGTCGACCACATCCTCAACGAGGCCACTCGGCATGAAAGCGTGCGCGGAGCGCGACGTTTGTGTTCATCGAGCCTAGGATATACACTACTCGGTGCCGCGGACGCACTGTCCGACGTCGCACCGCGTGCGGGAGACGAAGTTGGGCTCTGCCCGTGCTCGCTGTCAGAACCAGCGAGACTTGATGATTTTCGTGTCGTGGACACAGGGCGCATTGAGCAAGGAAGTTGTTAAATTCCAACAAATTAAGTTGCAGTGTCAAGCGGACACGCGAGCCTCGTTGAAGCAATAATTGATTGGAACTGTAAATGTTCTCAATCTTAATAGGAGAGGGTGTAACGGGGCTACATATACCCAGGTAACAGATGAGTGTGTCGCACGAGATGTGCATGGTGTGACCACACCCAAACAAGAAAACGCTACGGGGCTAGGAAGCCAGTAGTTATGCATTTATCTGGATTTTACTACATATATTTAGTATATTCAGGGAAATTTAAACATTTAAAATTAGGTGGCTTTGCCGCGGATATAAATAAATAAAAATCAGTTTTGGATCTTAAACGGAAGAGCTAATTAGCCTTGGGTAAGGCAATAATTACTCTTGGAGTAAGCGG